CATGACAACGTGGCAGCCCGTGGTATCCGGCGTTCGAAAGAGCGTAAAAATGTAGGTTTGGTATGTAATATGTAGGTTGGAGGAGCAGGAGCCTGCCTGTAAATGGGCATATCGGCCCGTTGAAGGATGACTCGAAAAAAAAAAACAATAGAGCTGCAGCGCCGCGAAAAAGCGCATTCGATAGCCCTATATATTAACCCGCGCCCCGTTGAGCTCTGCCGAGCAACGCGCCCCGTTAGGCGGCACGGGCGGACATCGATAGCAGCGCCTCTATCGGTCACTAGGGAAAGCTGGGCTGTAGGCGACGAAATACCGGCTGAGTTGTCACAAGTTAAATAGGTTTATAGGCATCCTTCTTGTGAAAAAGTTGAACTTTTGCCTTCAATATTTCTACAGGCAATTTTAAAAGTGCCTTCACATAGATTACAAAACCGTTTAAATTATTTTATTCACTTCAAGCCTTCCCTATTGTTCTTGATGATGCGGGAACTATTTCTAATTAGTGTTTCTAGCTTAGTAAAAGAACATATTTCACAAACGATGAAAAAAGCATAAATGGAAGATTTTAAATGCAATTTTCTGTAACAAGTAATGGTAAATTGTCCACACATCAAGGAAAAGGTGCATGCTAACTGATAATTTGAAGTTCTTGGGGCCAATTGGTTTCTTCTTTTCTTACGTCGCCCCAATGGCCGCGAATACACTTGTGATAACGCCTATCGCTGTTGGGGGCGTTGGGGGTGGGGTGGGGGGAATTTGCCCCCCCCCCCCCCAAGATCTCGAGAACCACGCAACCTAGCGACAAGCAGCAAACGGTGTTGGATAGCCCTATCAGGGAACTACCTTGTGATCCAATTTCATTGACCTAGATCAAACCGATGACGTCACAGGTCAGGGCAAAGGCCGAATTTCCACCGTTTACAGGCATTTCAAGAAATGCGTTGTAAAATCGAGTAAAATGCATTTCATTGAAAATTATCGATGGGAAAATGTTCTTCAAACACATATTTTGCTATTTCAGGTCACTGATAAGTGATACCAGGTCAGGTCACAGAGGTCAGGTCACTGAGGGTCACAATATGAAAATATCATGTGATACATGTACATACGAGTATTATGGTCCATTTTATATGTCAAATACGATAATGTGGGTCAGGCAGCCTTTGAGGTCAGTTAACCCTCGCACCGACGGGGGGGCGGATATCCGCCCCCTGAGGTTTTTCGCGAATAGCGGGAAAACCGCGGCGCGTAGCGCCGCGAAATTTGGTATGACTATAACCTCATCAATTTTACACATGGTGTGCAAGTTTGAACCTCCTACCTTTTAAGGTCAGGTCACCAGGTCACTTTGAATGACCCAACCTCAAGTCACTTTTTTGCAACTTTGTCACCGTGCCAGAGCTACAGTAGATGTCGGAGGCCTTTGAAAGTCGCAGGATATTATTAGGACATTAGTAGCTACAATATGTTTATCTCTAAATTTTGATATCGGTGACCTAAGGTCAGGTCAATTTCGCGACCTCCCCATTATAAGTCAATGGGGGAAAAATCAACTCCCTGTTTTTACCACTAAAACGGGTCGGAATGGCCCCATATACCATACATGACTTCATATACGATCAACCTTCACTACCTTGAGGTCTGTTTTGCTGTTGGGCAGCTGTGAGGTCATGTGACGTCATCAAAGGTCACCAAAGGTTTTTGGCCAATAACTCCGTACAGGAACAAGATACAGACGCGTGGATGGTCTCATTGTGTTCAGCTCGTCAAGACGCATCGAATGATATACATGATGACCTCGAGGTCACGTGACCTGAGGTCAACCTTTGACTTTGACCTTTCGAGGTCAACATATATATCATTCGATGCGGATTGACGAGAGGATCACGATGATGCCCTTAGTTTGCTCCTATCTTGACTAATTCGAAAGTTATTCGAGAAAAACTCTCTCCATATCTAGCGCCGCCATTTTGACTTTTTCGACCCCTGTGACGTCATCTTTGACCTGACCTGAAAATGACCTTGGTAAAATTGGAGATCTTGGCCGTGCGTATCCGATGCCGTTTACCGCTTGTCGCTATCTTGCTTCGTTCTCGAGATCTCAGGGGGGGGGGCGGTCATCCGCCCCCCCCCGTCGGTGCGAAGTTGGCGCAGACCCCCGTCGGTGCGCGGGTTAAGATTATGTTCTAGTGAAGGTCAGGTCAAGGTCAGGTCAAGGTCAGGTCAAATTAGGTCAAATTTCAAAATTGATATTTTTGCATAAAATGGGTATCGATTTGATGCAACTCGTCAAGGGGAGTTCATTGGTGGTCTTTGTTTTGCCCTACGTGGTCTAGAATCGCTAATAATTGAGTTCAAAAATTTGACGTGATCATTTTTGAACAGTTTTTTTCGCTATAACTTGGCCAAAAAACGAGATATCGATCTGAAATTTGGTATGTACATACTAGAGCGCAGGGACTATCACATTTATTCCGTTTTTTCGAAATTCGGGAAAAAATTGGATTTTTTATAGTTTTTCTAAAAAATCATTTTTTTATTTTTTATTGGGTCAAAAACCCAAAAATTTGAAAATCCGAGAAAACAGTTTTGTAGCGCCGTTTTTCGTCTACTAGACCATATAGAAAACTTTGAAATTTCTTGGCAACTGTAGATTTGGTGAGCATTTCAAGATTGCATGTTTTTTTTGCTCATTTTTGCTCGAACATGACCTAAGTATGACCTCAATAACTCCTGACCTAAGATGACCTAAGACTTGAAATTTGGTGTGCAGGTGTCAAATTGATGCCCGGGAAGGTGCTGAAAATTTGGCGGCGCTGCGCACCGCCGTTTTTTGCTATGCAGGAAAAACCACAGGGGGGGGGGGCAAATTGCCCCCCCCCCCCAACGGGGCGAGGATTAACGCCCTTTCTAAGCAATACCCTCAGGATGCCCTCAGGTTTCACCTATCGTTAACGGTTTTGCCTGCAGGGGGCAAAACTGCCAGAATAGCTGCTTTTTTCGGAAACAGTTTTTCTGCAATAACGTTTGATCAAAGCCTTGCACGAGGCTACTTTTACCGACATCGTGTTCCTCTCGTGAAGACGCATCGAATGAACTATAACTTGACCTTGAAAGGTCAACTTGAAAATTTGACCTCAGGTCAAGGTCATGACCTGACTGAAAATGGTCATGTTGTATATCAGTCGATCGGAATCGTCGGCTGTACGCATCTAAGGCGTTTTCATCGCTCTTGCATGCCTCTATCAAAATTTATTTGCGAAAAAAAAACTGTTAGATACCATTCGCGACCTGAGATGACCTCAGGGGCATAAACAGGGGTCATGGACATCATTTTCATGCTCAGTGTGTTTAAGTTACCTGTACTTCAGTTTTGGGAATGTTTATAATGGCTTTCCTCTAAAAGCGGCGCATTTCAGCTTTCTCCCATTGACTAAAGGTATAACATATATACCTAATGGGGACTGGGGAGGTCGCAAAATTGATCTGACCTTCAAAATTCTGAGATATAAATTTTGTACATGCTATTGCTGTTAGCAATCACTGAAGGTTTCAAAACGATTGTTCACTGGGTGTAGCTATGGTAGAGATTGAAACTTTTTAAGAGGTGAGGTCACTTTAAGTGACGTGGTGACCTGACCTTGAATGACCTTAAGCGCCGCCGTTTTTTAGATATTCACGAAAAACCACAGGGCGCAGGTTAAGATACTCTGTCCCCCTCCCCGCTTTGAGTGATGGTTCGGAAAGCAAGAGTGATTGAGTCATGGCTTTCCTCACCCCCAACCCAGCCCGGCCCGGTGTGACAGCGACACACGACCGATATAATCAGTCACCAAAAAAAAAAAAAAAAAAAACACTGTCGATGTTTTCAAACACTGTCTACGAATTGTCGCCAGCGTGCTTTGTTTCGTTAGATCTTTGGGGCATGAGTATCCTCTCTCCCTTCCACCCTCTCTCCGGCTCCCTCCCTCCTCTCTCCTCTTTCTCTGTGTCCCAGTACCAGCACCTCCATCGCCGCGACTGAAAGCAGCTCCTTATAGTATAGGTGTGCATATGTGAGTCTCGTTAACCTTGAAATGAGCTACGAGCATGGACCCCGCCGTATCATTAGCACTGCCGGCGGGGCTCCGGCGCTGGAGAGACTCACTATCACTGATGCAGCATCATGGAATATTCATTATTTACTATACACTCCACTCTGAGAACCTCGGTCCTTGCATCACAGCTCTCCCGCTTCCCATCTTCTCCATCTGTCTGTCTGTCTGTCTGTCTCGTCTCTGTCTCGTTTATTTCTATTCTCTATTCTCTATTTCTATTCTCTGTCTCGTTATTTTCTATATCGTTTATTTCTACTCTCTCTCTCTCTCTCTCTCTCTCTCTCTCTCTCTCTCTCTCTCTCTCTCTCTCTCTCTCTCTCTCTCTCTTCCCCCTCTTCCTCTCTCTTTTTTCTCTCCACCCTTTCCTCTCTTTCTCTCCCTCTCAGGCCTCTCACAAACCCATGCGCTCTCTCACACCCTCTATCCTACTCCCTCCCTGCCCCCCCTCCCCTCCCATTACTGGCCGCTGATACCACTTCCGCACAGTGCACACCTTACCTCGGTGACTCCCCTGCTCTACCCCATCTGCCTCGGTGACTCCCCTCCTCTGTCTCGGCTCCCCTGCTCTACCCGCTCTGCCTGGCGCACCTCCCGTGCTCCCGCTGCTCTACCCCTGTGTCGCCGCTCTGCCTGCCCCCCACCTCCCGTGCTCCCCCGCTCTGCCTGGAGTGGCCCCCACCTCCCGTGCTCCCGCCGCTCTGCCGGCGCACCTCCCGTGCTCCCGCGGCGTCTGCCTGCCCCCCACCTCCCGTGCTCCTCGCTCTGCCTGGAGTGGCCCCCACCTCCCGACCTCCCGTGCTCCCGCTCGGCGTCTGCCGGCGCCTGTCGAGGGCGCTGCACCGACTCTCCGCCTGCCGCCCGGCTCCGACCCCGACCGGCCCTCAGTCAGGTGGGAGCCGGCGAGGGAGGAGCACACGACGGGCAGGACAGAGCGAGAGAGCGGAGAGAGAGGGAGCGACTGGTACAGAGCACTCGGAAAGGTGAGCGTGGCAGCGGTGTCCTCTATATGTGTTATACACTGCAGGCAGGTTACAACAGGCGATGAGGATCTGGCTGATTTTACAGAGGTTTGAGCGGTAAAACAGGACGCGATCTTCTTCTCATCGTTCGGACCGAGAGAGCTCTAGGTGATGAGTTACCTACATATGTGTGGTTAGATCGCGCGTTCAATTTTCGCGCTGAGGAAAGAATAGGCGTCTAGGAAAAACTGAATTTCCAAGATGCGTAAAAAACGCACAGTTCACGCATGTAAAAAATGAGGCACAACCAACGTTACTGTACATTTCTAATGCATGACATTATAATTTATAAGCCATCAACAATAGGCTTATTTTTATTCATTCGTGATTTATCGCCTTCCGAAGCGGCTGCTATTGCCTAGGCATGTATGTAGGCAGTCTCTCAATGGTGGCCCACTAAACGCCGTATACCGACCTAATGGCGCCGAGGAACTGACGATGATTGCTCTCCGCATTCCCATGAAGTGCAATATAACCTAATGGGACGGCGCGGGTCCCATGGCTAGAGGGGAGAAAGCTCTGCAAGCTGCATGGTCATATCTTTTCCTATCCAGGTCTTGTCTTTGGTGTTGTCATCACCAGTTTCGTTTAGGCTATTATCGTGTGGAGAACGTCACTGAAGCCTGCGCAATCAGCTTCCTTCCGCTTTAAGTACAGTCCACAGCAGAAGTAATGTGCGGTTTCAGTCAGAGGTATGTTCTGCTTCTGAAGCTTATGAACGACTAGCGAGACTACAATGAAACTTTGAATGTAGCTTAGATGTATCGTCACCCTTGCAGCTGCAACTTTATCTATTGACATTTTCTTTTCGATCACTCCGCATTAAAAAATCGCCAGTCAAAGCCATCCATTGAGATTGGTAAAACCACACATCACTTTAGCGGTGGGCTGTACAGTCTGTCTTAAAAGTACCGCGCAAAGTGACGGTGGATCCATCAACCCTAACCGAGGAAGGGCCTGTGTTAACCCTCGCATGTGTAGGGGGGGGGGGTCGGATGGACCCCCCCCCCCATGGTTTTTCGCGAATAACTCGCGTAAAAAGCGGCCGATCGCGACGAAACTTTCAGTACCCTCGCATTGATCAATTTTACACCTACCCTGAAAATTTCATGACCCTGACCCAAATGACCTTTGACCCGTGACCTCTTTTCCGAGACCATGTTTGGCCGGAATCGCGATTCGGCGTACGTCGGCTCGCATTAGCCGCGCGTTTGCAAGCTTTTCGTGGTTTCAAACGTTCAAACATGTGATGTGATGTTGCTCCCATGCATTAGGGTGGGTGTCAAGGTCACCTGAAGGTCAGGTCAGGTCATTGACCTTTGGTGACCTCGGGTGACCTCGGTTCACTTTTTCGAGTTTTACATGTTTCTAGGCTAGTTTTTGGAGCTGAATTCGAATTTAGCAACCATTTGAACATTTACGAAGTAGTTTTGGTGCCTTCGTAACATGTTACGAAGCTGTCAGAGGCGGTTGACACGTACTACAAATACCCGTCACGACGCCTACTGGTTGACCTGACCTGACCTGACCCGACCTGGTCTAAATGCTTAAAGACATCATCTGTGATCAAAACTAACACGATATTCGTGATCAGCACCCCGAAAAACCCCTTAGCAGCCACACTTTACGACTTTCTAATAGGTCCCGATTTTCCCGACTTTGGGTCATTGACCTGACCTGGAAGGTCAACCAATGACCTAGGACCTTAAAATTGGGTATCATCGGCTTCCTCTCGTCACGGGCAACACGCTCGTTTTTTCCGCGAAGCTCTAGCTCGATTAGGGGCCAAACGGCAAGGGGGGGTCCAACCGACCCCCCCCCTACACATTAGAAGCTGGAAAACGCCGCACACATGCGAGGGTTAATTTGAAAGTCACCGAATCAATTGACCTGGGGAATGGACGAGGATATCCATTGTTTCGGTGACTCAAATCCAGCAGTCCTTCCTCGGTCAGGCTTGATGGATCCACTGTTACTTTGCGCGGTACTTTTAAGACAGACTGTACATACATATCTTGCGCCGGGCCGGGGGTGTTTGAACACCCCCCTGCGGTTTTTCGCAGATATCTCAAAAACTTTTCTGACACACCTGTTAACCCGGCAGTTGCTGGGGTATTTCGCCACCCACCGTTTGCTGGGGGGGGGGGCGTTAAACGCCCCCAGCCGATAACTCAAGAACCAATAGGCGCAGCGAAACGCACGAGGCGGCAAACGAAAGAACGCGACGAGACGCTTCAGATGAGTACTTTAAAGTTGAATTTTGAGGTCACAGCTCGGGTCAAGGTCAGGTCAAACACCTGAAATCGGCCTTTCAGTAGCATGGACTTCAGGACTTCGCAATGGGCGCCTCTCGTCATAAACTCTGTCAAAACGGTGCACAATCCATCATATAAGGCCTACAAGAGTGTCAGCTCCATGTAGGGGTCAGTCAAGCATAGGTCAGGGTCAAGGTCACTGGTCAGGTCAACCCGGTAGGCACATATCCTCGAAAATCAAAACTGATATTCGCATCATGTGACACATGTTTTATGGGTAATTTTGGGCGTAGAGCACGATAGTGACATTCATTTTATCATATGTGTACGTGTTTTGCTAAAAAAGTTCAATTTAAGAAATTCGTGTATCATGGTCGTGAAGTAGTCACGAGAAATTGCCAAGATTCAGTTCAAGATTTTGGAAAATGCGCAACGATAATCAATAATTGAAGATAGCCATTTGATTGTTCATGGTATTGGCAGTCTAATGGCGTTTACGGCATGTCTGTATGTCTATTTTGTGATTTTATATGATTTTTTGAACATATGCCGTTTTTGGTCGAAAAGTCAGAAATCATGACGTCACTAAAACCTCGATATCTCAAAAACTTTCCGACCGATTTTTTTAAACTTTGTCACAATAAACTTCAATCAATTCCCTACAGGCACCCAAAATTTGGCGCGCCGCACATTGTTATGCTATGGCCCGGCGAAAAAAGTGGGGGCGTTTAACGCCCCACCCCCCAGCAACTCGCGGGTTAATGCATCTTTTTCGCACCGGCACATGCTGTGAAAATTTCAGGCCCAGGACTTCATGCTCAGGTCACCAGGTCACGTCAGGTGACCTCACGTCAGAAATGTTTGAATCCCCATCATAGCTACACCCACAAAACGATCGCCTTGAAACTTTTAGAGATTGACAAGAGTAACAGTAGCCGTTTTCACGACGGGCTATCCGGCGAGTGCACCTGATTGAACCTGATTTGACCAAATCTGCACCTAATTTCTTTTACAGCAAATATCTTTATTTTATGAATTTATTTCAGTGTTTTAACCCGGCACCGCCTGGGCTATTTCCGTACCCACGACAGCCTGGGGGGGGGGGGGTCGGATCCGACCCCCCCCCCTGTTATCTCGAGAACCAATGGTCGTATCGAGCCCCGCGAGGCGGCGTTCGAAAGGTCTCTAGGAGACGTTCCCAAAGCACTCTTAAGATTTTAAGATTGAGGTCAACTTTCGGGTCAAGGCCAGGTCAAAGGTCAAATTCAGGGGTTTTGCATGATTAGGCTTACGGACAGCGGAATCGATAGCTGCTGCTCGAAACTCACCAAAAATGACCTCAAAGGCCTAGTGAAGGTACCATGTGTGTATAGGGGTCATACTAAGTACGGGTCAAGGTCAGGTCAGGTCACGAAAGGTCACGGTTTTCAATTTCTGCTACATGGGCGTGCGACACATGTTTTATGGCTTATTTTTCACGCCGAATCCGATGGTAATGGTTATATGTGACCCCAAGTCACTGTGCTGGTGATAAGTGTGCATTGAAAGCATAAAAAATCGTTTATACTATACGAGGGCTGAGAAAAAAGGTCAATTTTTCAACTTTTTATTTTTGACATAAAAATGCACTTTTCTAGACGAGCTTTGTCCCAGGAATCTAGTGGTGCCATTTGTTTTCACATGCGATGTTCAGAAGTACCTCTAATTCACGAAAATGCTTATGACGTCACCATGCCCTATACATGTTGGAGCTATTTTTTACAATTTGGGGGTCAAAAAACAAGATAGAAAGTTGAAATTTGGGGCATCTAATGTTCTAATAGAGCTCTACAACATATACTCCGGTTTTTTGGAAATTCCTAAATTTTGGATTTTATTAGCTGTTTTCTAAAGAATATAGTTTTTTGAATTTTTAGGGGTAAAAAACGCATTTTATGGAAAATCCGAGATAGCCATTTTAAAGAACTCGTTGAGTTGCGTCTTTTCATGTCCTTAATTTGCAATTTGCTTTAAACCCTGATTTTTGGCGATTTTTTAAACATTTACCACTTTTTGACTAAAAACGCCATGTAGTTACATCACTAAAATCGATATATCTAAAAAAAAAATGGAAATTTTTTCTTAAAAATTGCATAGGAGACGTCAAATTGATGGGGGAGAAGGTATGCCAAGTTTCAAGTAGATAGCGAAAGTGGTTCATGAGTTATTCAAGAAAAACGGAGGGGGGGGGGGGTCGGATCCGACCCCCCCAGGCGGTCGCGGGTTAACCCGCGCCCGGCTGGGGGTCCTGGATTTCCACGCCCTGCTGGGGGGGGGGGGGTGGTGTTTGAACATTCCCCTTCTAACTCGGCTCCTGGGCCACGTAGCGATACGCGGAAGGCGGCGTTCGAAAGAGCGTCAAAAATAATGAGGAAATCACTTCAGTCAATTTTTGGTCAGGTCAAAGGTCAGGTCACCAGAGGTCATTGAAGGCAAAATTTCGCCGATTTCCAGGTCGAATGTCGACAATTTCCAAGAAGCCAACCCATAACTCGGGAACAAATAGAGCTACAGCGCTGCGGAAAAGCGCATTCGATAGCCCTATTAACGCGCTTTCTGAGTGATTATCTCATATTTGACCTAACGTCAACGGTTTTGCCTGCAGGGGGCAAAAACTGCAAAAATGGCCGATTTTTTCGGAAACAGTTTTTCTGCAATAACTTTTGA